GCTCTCATTTCCCGAGTTGTGCTTTTAAGTCGGAATGTGAAAACAACATGGACACTCTCATAACTACAAGATGTGTTGGATTTGTATTATTGGAGCTTTCCGACTTGAGTTCACGTGCATTTTCTCAGTCGGGAAATTATTTTTCACGTGTGGTGATGATGCTTTTACGTCCGTTTCGGAGAACAAGAGGACAAATATTTAAATCGATCGCTCAGGCATGGCACCGAAATCTGCGTTCTGATTCGGTTCTAGTACATACCGGTTACATAGGTACCGGCAGGGCTCGAATTGAGGGGGGATGCGGGGGGATGGCATCCCCTGGTGGAAAAAAATGATAAAACTAATAAGTAAAAACAAATCGGTGACAGTGCTAGCATGTTTTTTGCCCCCACAAGAATACCAACATGTTCACCCTCTCTGGTTTAAGAAGCAGTCTTTTACTTTACTTTAGCATGAAAACCATCCATCGCTTCCCCAATATTCGTGTCATTTTTGCTGCGTGCAGCTTCGCGCTCCAGCTTTTAATAAGCCCAGAATAAAATGAGTAGGCTAAAAATCTGTGTCATATTTTATTCCATGTCGTTGTAGATCACTGTGACGAGTGGGGCGGGGCTGAGAGCCGTGGGAATAGAGCGAGGCCGGTGGAGTAAATAATAATGAGCAACACCTGCGCCACTCACCGGTCTCGAGTCCCACAGAGGAGCTCCGGAAGGATAAAAGGAGGAGTAACGACAGTGAAGGAAGAGAGAGGACCAGGCCTGGATTTTATGTTGTTGTTTTATTATGTTTTATGTGGCAGTCGTCCGTGAGGGGCTGCCGCTTTTACTTTCGTTTTGTGTTTGTTCATTTGTTTATTAAAGTTTTGTGTTTAAATTTTCGCCAGTTCCCGCCTCCTTCTTCCCGATCTACGAAGTGTGTTACATTGATGCTGAAACCTGTGAGGAAGGAGGGACATGCTGCCATCCAAGAGGGGCTGCCATCCAAGAGGAAGCGGAGGAGTCGGCACCATTCACCAGGAGGCCGGAGCCTGCTTGGGGGAGGAACAGGGAAACGGGGGACTCGCTGCCGGCTGCCCTCGACCGGAGGAGCCATGGCCAGCCACCAGGAGGCGGAGGAGCGTCAGGCCGTCCACCAAAGATGTCCAGTACCACCGCATGGCACCGCGAGTGAGAGCCTCTCAGCTGGTTGAGGGCCAAGCGGCAGTGTGTCCGGGAACTCTCTCGTCTCTGTCTCTCCTCATCCTTCCATCTCCATTTCTCTTGCCTCGTTTGTCCTTACCCCCAGGAACGCTGCAGTCGTCGTGATCGGCTCCCCTGGAGGGGCGATGGGGGTATGTGACGAGTGGGGCAGGGCCAAGAGCCGTGGGAACAGAGCGAGGCCGATGGAGTAATTGATAATGAGCGACACCTGCGCCACTCACCGGTCTCGAGTCCCACGGAGGAGCTCCGGAAGGATAAAAGGAGGAGTAACGACAGTAGGGCTCGACAATAAGGACTGCCCGATGGCCCAGGGCCAGCGTGAAAGACGCTTGGGACAGTTGACGGATTTGTCACTGGCCCGATCGGGCCACTGCCGCGTCGTCACAAAAAGTTTATCACTTGTATCTGTTTTTAAGCCTTGCTAATTAAAAAATTCAAACAACTTAAAAGCATTCCAGCAAGGCGCAAAAGACAACTCCATTCAGTAC